GTCCGCAATCTGAAGCGAGTCCGCAGGGTTCAAGAGCTGCCCGCCAAATTGGTGTATAGTGTCAAGCCACCTGGGTCAGAAGCAGAGCATGGCACAGAAGAGTTCTATGTGAAGCGGAAGTCACGCATTGTATGTTGTGGAAACTTCAGCTCCCAAGACCCGGGCGATATATTTGCGAGTGGAGCAGCTGCGGAGTCCTTGAGGTGCGTGCTGACATTGACGGCAATGAGGCGATGGTCTGCTGGAGGCGTGGACATAGGAGGAGCCTTCATGCTGACGCCCCTATCACAAGACGAGGACGCGGTTCTCTACATCATTACGCCCCCAGCAATATTGATAACCCTTGGACTCGCTGCACCAGATGAGCGATGGATATTAACTCATGCAATGTATGGCTTGCGCCAATCACCTCAACTGTGGTCGAGTTTTCGTGATACCACGGTAAAGGCCATGGACATGGAAATGGATGGTGTTACTTGGAAGTTTGTCCAAGGGGTCTCGGAGCCGAATGTGCGGATGTTGTTCGAGGTTGGCAACACGCAAACTACATTGCCAAGCGCCCTCCTGCTCATTTATGTCGACGACTTGTTGATATGTGGACCAAGGACGTTGGTGACAGCAATAGCAGCTCGAGTGGGTTCTACATGGAAGGTGTCCGAGCTGGAGATTGTGGAACCTGGAAAGGGTATCAGGTTTCTTGGATGTGAGATCGAAACCAACGAGAACCGGGACACGTATTGGATCCATCAGAAGCCGTATGTTGTGGAGATCTTGCGTCACCATGAAATTCCTTCTACCTCCAGGTCGCCCGTGCCATGTCCGCGTGAATGGCTGACTCCACAAGTTGACGCTGAGGAGGAGAAGGGAACTGAGCAAGAGGTGAAGCTGGCACAAAAGTTGTGCGGCGAGTTGCTTTGGCTCAGTCAGCGGAGCAGGCCAGATATTGCTTTCCCTGTGTCGATCATGGGAAGTCTTATCACCAGGGCTGCACCGAGAAGTATCCAAATTGGTATGCGCCTTCTATCTTACCTACAACACTCTGCCGGCATTGCCTTGGAGTTGAAGCCGACTGAGGGCGGCTTTGAGGCTTGGAGTGATTGCAGTTTTGCACCTAGTCGGTGTCGATCCCACAGTGGAATGACGATCACTTGGAACAAGGCGGTGATCGGGTGGAGGTCAGGGCGCCAACCTTTCACATGTTTGTCGACGGCTGAAGGAGAACTGGTCGCAGCGATAGAGACTTTGGTGTTAGCGATGAGCATCAAGGCCATCGTGGATGAGATCAGTCAACCTTTGCCGACTATGACTTTGTGCGTGGACAATCAAGCAGCTTTGGCTTTGGCGAATCCATGTACATCGGCGAGCTGGAGGACCAGACACCTGAGGATCCGGTCGTCATTCCTAAGGGAGAAGGTGGAGGTCGGAGAGGTCAAGCTGCAGTTCGTGCCGGGCAAGTATCAACTGGCCGACTTGTTGACTAAAGGCTTCCCGCGTCAAAGACTTCAGGAGTTGAATTTGCTCTGGGGTCTTGTTGACCTTGTGGATAAGGTTGCAAAGTTGAACTTGGTGAAGGTGATGGTCATGATGACGATGATGGTGCAGTCCGGAAGAGCATCGCTGTTGCCTACCAAGGACCCCCTACCGCTCGAAACGTCATGGGAACTTTACTTCATGATGGTCCTATTAGCGATCGGAGCTGTCGCGGCATGGGAAGGCATTTGGGGATCGTGGTACTATTTGTCTGGGCAAGAATCTCCGGCTGAGTTGAGAAAGACAAGGCGACTCAAGAAAATGCAAGAGGCCGTCCAGCAGGAGATTGCAACCCAGTTGGCCACAGCTTCCTCGAGCGCACCGGCAACACCAGCGAGACCGACACCAGCACACGAGGAGCAAGCCACTTCCAGTACTACGCCGAGGAGACGTTCACGGCCTATTCCGGGGCTAACCACGTCACCTACAAGTACCGATTTGCCTATGCCGAGGTTGCCCACTATGTCAACCGCAGTGCGCCGGGGGAGAACAGTTTACCGACCCGACCAATGTGATAAGGCTACGCAGCTCGACGCGGCACCGCTCATACAGTATCAAGATCGTGAAGTACCAGTTGTCATTCCAGAGCCCACAGGGTGGACAAGACCGATTTGGGTTTCGGAGCATGGCGATTGCTTCCACACCCTCGACCACTGCTGGGGATTGAGGAATGTCCGAAAGACGAGACGTCTTTTGTTCTGTACTATGTGCCGAGATAACCATGGGCGCAACTTGTATCCGGAGCGAAATGCAAGGCGCAGTGGCTAGCCATGGTCTCCCAAGGGCCAGCCAAGGAGGAGTGATGAAAGGGAAGCTTTCAGATGAATGCATCCGCTCCGTCGCTCAAGAGCACTAGGCGAATGAGGAGATACCATGGCCCCCGTAGGGGACAACACTTCAGTACAGAGCCTTTATAGGCAAACTCCATAATTAGCCAAATGTGCTGTAGCGCCCTTGATGGGCATGGACTTAAGGCACGCAACTTCTTAGAGGGACTTTGTGTGTCTGATGCAAGGCACAGCTAGAGCAGTGCGAAGCATTTGCCGTGTGTGGAAAAAGTGAGCCTTAGGATATCCGCGCGCCGCTGATGGAAGTTCCTTGATTCTGCATTGGTCTGCAACACTTCAGCACCTAAACCCTGAAGCCCAGGGTTTCTTGCTCTCTCTCTCCCTCTCCGGATCTGTGGCGGTTGCAGCGGCCTTTCGACCTCTTTCTGCGGGGGCGGCCCTATGCAAAGCTCCCTGGCCTTGCTAGTTAGAACCGGTGTTATCTGAGCGCCCTAAACTCGACGGGGCTTAGGATTTAGGAACGGGCGAACGCCTGGTAGGGAGCTGACTTCCTTAGAATGGTACAAGGCCTGCGGTTTTAAGTGCGGGGTTTCCGACAATAAGGGAGCCTAATATAGTGGCCCCTAAGCAGTAGGATCCTCATTATCAGGACCCCAAAATAAGGCACCCTAATTCTCGGAAACTCCCATATAAGAATAATCTGAACCCTCAAGCCCTAAACCCCAAACCCTGAACTTTGATCCCTAAACCCTAACCCTAAACCCTGAAACTCCCTAAACTCCCAAGTGGCGTCCCGACCCACGAAGGCATTTAAAAGCAAGAGAGTCTTTACGTAGCCGAGCATGGTTGAACCGCAGTGTCAGAGAGTCGAACACAGGGTTCAGGGAGTAGGGTTTAGGGTTTAGGGGTTTAGGGTTAGGGTTTAGGTTTTAGGGGTTCAGGGTTTAGAGTTT